CCAAGGTTTTCCTTCTTTCCAAAGGCCCACACAGCGTGACACCAGCCCTGCATTTCTCCGGCACCCCCACCAGGCCTTGAAAAGGTCCCAGCTTGCCTGCAGCCCCAGGTCTCAGCCCACAGAGGTTCTTCAAAGCCCTGTCTTGGCTGCAGGCTGTGCCTGGACTCCAGTGAGAGACAGAGGAGCCGGACTGCCAGATGCACCAGCTGAGTTTAAAGTCCACCCTCCTGTCTTTCCCCCCATCATTTCCTGGGCTAAATGGGAAGCCCGGCCCCTGCAGGGGGTGCTGAGGCTCAGATGAGGTGGGGACAAACTCCCTGGGTGCTGGCTCCCAGCCTGGGGTACTTCTGAAGTTCTCTGTGCTGACCTGCAGTGGTGGCTCACCTGGCAGTGGGTTCCCCATGGGGTAAAGGGCCCTATGGGACTTGGAGGTGCAGATTAGCATTTTAAAGAAAGGTCAGCAAGAAAGGAGTTCTGAGACCTGCTGGGAGCAGAAGGGATGATGGTGAGAAAAGTTCTCCACCCCCAACAGGCCCTTCTGCTGACCAGGTGGCATCTGAGAGGGAGAAAGGGCACGGCCAAGGAAGACAAGGGAGCACTGGGCCTAACTGCTCAGCCACTGGTGAGCAAAGAGCTTGAACACACCAACTACACCTCTTCAAGCCTCACTTTCCTCCCCTCTTAGAAGAAAAAGTCAGATAATGAGCTCTGTGGGCCTCGCAGCCCTAGTGTCAGGGAGTTCACGGAGCAGAGGGCCGGGGGCCGCCACCACTGAGGGGTTGCCCGCTGCTGACCACAGAGCTAACACTGGCTTTGTGGGTGACTTTGGTGGGGAAAGTCACAGAACCCCTGTTTCCACGTCTGTATGTGAGAATAATACTTACTTGATGGGTTCCTGTAAGAATTCAACTAAGTCTGAAAGCAGTTTCCTTGTGGATGAGCTGTGTGGCCCCAGGTGGCCCAGGGGGAGGGTGGTGTGTATGTGTGTGTGTGTGTGTGATTTTAGCTCCTTCTTGCTACCGGTGCTCAGTGTGAAAGTCACGCCCTCTTCAATTCTCTCTGGAACAGATTGCCAGGCAGACTACCTGTGTGCCTGCCACGTGGCTATTTCACTCACCAAATTCTCCTTTTAGCAAAGGAAAGGCCCAGAGAATGGGCCTTGAATTGACACCACCTAGTGTGATTTAATATCACTGCTTTTGTTTAGTGTGTCATTTTTCCTTTTCCCTTCTGCTGTTTGCTCGTTGATATCTCCTCCTGCCTCCCATGCTCCCTCCCTCCCTTCCTTCTTGCTTCCTTTCTTTTTTTATTATATATTGACTTTATGCTGGTTTCCTTGAAAGTAGTATTAGAGGACCTCCTCTTGAAATAAATTTGAGGACATAATTGGAGACAAATATTAAGTAATAATGGAAGCAGCATGGTGCTTTGGTGAAAACTGTGCAGGCCATCTAAGGATGGGGAAATGTTTGCATTAAAATTGGGGACATGGCATGTGCCCTGGAGGGCCCTGACCTAGGTAGGCAGTGTGTTATGGGTCTGAAAAGGTAGGTCACAAACCCCCATCTCTGCCTGTCAGCTCAGCTCCCATGGGTGAGAGGACAGAACCTCTGGGGAGGGCAACATGGGGATAAATTCTGCTGAATTCTGACTCACCATACAGCTCCCTCGTTGAATCTAATGGAAAGTCATTTCAATGGTCCACCGGATTATGAACCACTGCATTTCTACACTAATGATAAAGGGACTGGAATTCCCATCTGAGACATTGTACTTTAAACAGAATACACATTACCTTCTGAAATAAAAGCCACTTATGCATACCAACCAATCTGTCTCGGTGCAGTGTCACCCAGTCAGATCTTGATGGAAGAGCCAAGAGCAAGTCAAATAAAAAGCTTTGCATCTCTGACTATCCATCATTCAGGGAGTTCCCAGGGCTGTGAGGGCAGGTTCTGGCTCACGTTGTTCAACTTACAGCTTTCCATTTTGTTGTAAGGAGGGAAGAACAAGTAAATTTTACAGATAACCAAAAGGATATTTTTGCAAGCCTCCCACCCAGCATAGTGCCTTGTAGAAAATACATCTAGTGTGTGTCCTGGAGTTCTCAGGAGTCGGAAAACAAAGACTGTCACGGGCCCAGCAATGTCTACTTCTAATATAGCTGTGAGGTGTGAGGTGTCTTTCTAGAATTATCTACAATTGGTGTTCATTGTAGGTGCATGTCAGGAGTTTCCAGGGAGGAAGAGCAAGTGAGACGCTCAGTGGAGGATGCCCCTGCAGGCAGTGGCTTTAGCACCTGGAGAAACCAGAGGTCATGCCTCTCTGTATTTGCACTGGCCAGGGAGCCAGACAACTGGCACGGCTTCCTTGTGTATTAGCAGGACAGCCATGCAAACTACAGGGACAAATCCCCTTTGTGGCCGACTCAGGGACTCAGGTCCTGGCCAGTGGTGAGAATCTATCTCTCTGTCTTGTTCGCAGGTGATATTTCTAGGATGGTGTTTATACATTCTGGAAATCTTAGCAGCAATTGTCTGCTTCAATGTGGCAAGCTCCTTCTTGAAAGACTTCTAATGAACTTTCTTCTTGAGCTTGATGGTCAGCTTACTGGCCTGTGTTTCCTTTATGCTTTATTCATTTGCAATTTGCAGCATTGGGTTTTTGTCATTTTATTTATTTTTGCAAATACAGGATGTCTGGGTTTCACACAGAGAGCCTTATTTCTCATAAAAATACCATAGTTTCTGATTTTTTAAAGCCTTAAATGATCTTGTCTTAGGGAAGCAGGGCATCTTGGTAGCTGTGGGATAGATACTAAAGAGGAAGAAGTGATGTGACTTTAGGGGAGGCCACTTGTTGTGTGAAATGAAGGGATCCCACTGTGGATGACATTGTGCCAATGTGACAACAAAGGAGAAAGGTGGAATTATACGTCCACAGACCCACAGAGATGTCTGACTTCTGACTTGTCTTTCCTTATTCTAAGAAGGTTTGTAGGTGGAAGGCTGGTCTCGGCTTTGTGCTTATTCGCAAATGTGGCCAAGCCTCTAGGCTGAGGCAGGATAAAGCCACTCTACTCACTGCACAGTCTCTTTTAGGAGGCAGTCATTGGAGCTCTGGGGCACTTAGGGATGAGCTGAATCCTGGGCTGTCCAGATCTCAAACCAGAAGCTCTGCAAAGATCGAATCAAAGGCCCTGTAAGAAAAGAATTAGAAAATCTGTTCGCTGGGAGTCAGAAGAACATTGGGTAGCACTAAGGAGACTCTCTTCCCTTTTGACCCTTCCTTTCCCGCCAGTAAAAATGGGTGGAGTGATTTTTGCCCTCCTTCCATCCCAGAGACAAGGTTCACAATAGTGTTCTGGTGGGTTGCCTTGGTTTAGAGATGAAAAGGAGATGGACTTGCAGAACTGTTATTCTAGAAGTGCTTTGGAACAGAAGTAGAAGACTAATTCTAGCCAGGGCATAGTCTATGTGTTAGGAGTCTGTGGGCCAGGGTGCCCCATATCCCACGGGTGTCATTCAGAGAAGAGAGCTGCGTGTCTTGGCTGCCTCTGAGGACAGTGACTGAGAAAGTAGAGTGCTCTGCAGATGCTATTTTCCCCAGTGGCATTGGCTTTGATGTCTTAGAAAAGAGAAGCCTTTTTCTGTTGGTGCCACATCTTGGTCCATAAGCGCTTTACTTAGAATTGGCTGAAATGAGACCAGTGAGGCAGCAAGGCTAGCAAATATCCCCTAGCCAGGTTGGCTCATTCAGGCACCTGCCCTGGAAGACAGTTACTTGATCTTACATGTGAGAATAGCAGTGGAGATCTCCGGGACATCTTTTGATTATTACAAATCATTTACACACAGTTTTTGGTCTTTTAAAAGTGATGTCAAATTTCATTTCATTTTTTAAAAAGATTTATTTATTTATGCATACGAGAACTAGGGCACAGGCCAGAGATGTGGGGAGTGAGAGGATTCACCAGAGACAGAGCGGGGAACAGAACAGGTGGACGGACTTGAAACACACTGCTGAGGCGAGCAGCGGGCGAGACAGGAGAGGACTGCTGCGCCACATGGGCCGCTCCCCGGCTGGCCAGGGATCGAACTCGTACCACAGAGGCCGCAGACTGCCCCACAGTGTGTGCTCAACCCCTTGCGCCACCAGGGAGGCCCCCGATGTCAAATTTTAGAAAAACCTTAATTGTCTGTAGTATGCCATCTAATGGGATCTTATTCAGTGATTTTTTGACAAATGTTTCCCATGATATTTAATGAGAAAATGCTTACAGTTTAGTGTTAAGGGGAAATAGGATAAAAATGAGATGTTCAATCTAACCCTAATTTTGCAAAAATATACAAGGAAAAAGTGTGAGAGATATATCCAATATCTCTCAGTTATCTGTGAGTAGCAAGAGTCTAGATGATTTTCATATTCTTTTGTGAAATGTTTATTTTCCAAATTTTTAATTGGTCTCATTTGTCTTTAAAACAGAAATAAATATAAGAGGAGTATTTATAATGAACAACCCCTTCCTATTTTTGCCCTCTGAGTCCCTTTCTCTATCTTGGGGACCGGTGCTCCCTTCTGGCACGCACGGGCCTTGGGGCTGGTGCTGGGGGTGTACTGCTATGGTCTTTCTCTCCCATTACTAACCACAAAGAAGCACATTGTGCAGAAGGTACAATTTATGTACCTTTACTTGTCATGCCAAGTAACTCCACAGCTCTCAGCCTGTTTTCCTTACCTGTAAGGCAGAATAGCTATCCCCTTTATTACACTACAAAGGTATTATGAAAAATTAAAGGAGGTAAGGAGGGGTAGAGTCTTAGTGGCCGTGAAGAAGAGAACACAATGGACATTTAAGGAGTGGTAAGCTACCAATGGTGGGCCTACTTTCTGACATCAAGCATGGTACCAATATGAGCCCTGTTGGCCACTAGTATCACAAAATATAAAATGGTAGGGCTGGTAACTGGATAATTAATTTTATTGTGATTTTTACCTAGGTCTTTCCTCTGCAATTTTCATTTCTCAACGCTCACAAAATAATGGCACGTGCCGAGAAGAGCCACCAGAGGGCGCCAGATCACTGACAGAGTCCACCTGGCTGCTGCTTGGCAAAATCACCAACATTTACGTCAGGAATATTGGATCTAAGTCTAGGCTTGAGAAAAGTGAAATCCAGTGTACATCAGTTATGATGTTGGGCCAACATTTAAGTAAATGAGGTTCTTTGTTCTCCTTGGCTATTACCTTAGTCATGCTATTTTTTTGGTTTGTATGTTTATGTGCTTTTATTTATCTCTTGTAAATCAGTGGGGATTGTTCAGATTAGAATTAAACTTGAAACTTTGGTCTGCTTTGAAAGCTGCCAGAGGCACGTGTCACATGATAAAGAGGTTGCCCTCCTCTCTGAGACAGTTATGAATACGTGGTTGGAATTTCTACTTTTGTTAAGGCCTTCCTTTCTTTTGCAGTGGTTCTCAGTTGTCACCCTAAAACCAACTGTTTTTTTTTTTTCCAATTTACCAAGAGGAAGCACATGAGGGAAAGGCACCTAGAGAACTTGTGCATTGCGGGGAGATGGTAGGAGTACCCTGTGCATGCCCCATGCAGTGTGTTTCTGGTGTATGGTCTGAATAGTGGTACTCTCTCATTCAGTGCCTACCCAGCTGTCAGGCCATTCTGGGAAGTGGTGAGTGTCTGTAGCAACGAAAGGGTCTTGGCTTTGACCTTTAAGGTCTCTGATGACTCCCAGGTAAGCCTAGATTCTAGATAATGCAGAAGTCGCTAAAAGCTGCAATCAACAGACTGGTGTGATGAAGAGGGATGATGATGTCCAATAGGCCTCCCAGCAGCTTCCCAAGGATGATGTGATGATGAAGGTGATGATGGGGAGAAATACAGCTGGGGATTCTCAGTAGGGTAACAAGGCATAGCCACCAGTATCCTTTTGCTAACAGCCCCGCGGAATGGCATTTGAGGGGAATTGGGATAGTGGGGCATATCCAGGAAAGTCTGGAGGGGATATATTGGTTTTCAGAAATTCAACTCTGGGTGGGAGGGAGTCCATTCTAGAGGTTTTATATCCCACTGGTGACACGGTCCTATTCTTTGCTGTTCTTTATTGGTGTTTTGTTTTTAAACATCAAATCCTGGAGTTGATTTTAAGGAAAGTCAAGTAAGTTCCCTGGCATGGACTGAGGCCCAAGGGCAGCTGAAAACAGCCATTTAGAAGATGAATAAATGAGGGAACCACAGGCCACACTCACCTTCTTGCACCTCCTCTCAGCACTTTGGGGCCAACTGTCCCAACCCAGTGCTGGAAGGGGCCGCAGGCCTTTGCATGCATGGGACTTAAGTATCAGGGATGCATTCATAGAGGCTGCTCAACAGAAAGCGGGAGGCTGGAGATGCCAACTTGGTGCAGACAACTTCACTTTGTGGAAGATATGGCCTGTAGCTTCGTTTTACTGCTTTTGGAATACCAAATACTCAGGAACTCTGACCTCATTTCATTTTCCCTTTGACCTTGGCCTGGGCTCTTTTCTTGTGGATGTGGGTCTGGAACTCAATGAGTATTTTCTAAATGCGGGAAGAGAAGCTCAAACATCCTTTCAGCTTCTCTCTCCGGCCATCCTCCCTGGTGTTCTGTGGACCCCAAGGGTAGGGGGAGGCATGGAGCTCCCACTTAGGCAGAAACAGCACCTGCTTTTGCAGTGAAGGATGCTAACTTGGCCCTCACCAGAGGAGGGGTTGAAAGGAACCTGAGAATTCCAATTAGGATTAAACTAATGAGCTGGAAACTTTGGGGGAAATCTCTGTGGGCAGGAAGAGGAGAGTGTGATCATCTTCCTTTTAATTAGCATTGGAAAAACCTGTGGTCCAGCTGGTAGCATGGGGAAGGACAACGTCCAGAGGAGACAAGTGTTTTTGAGAGGATGAGAAGGGGGCCCCAGTGCTGATGTAGGGGCAGAGCTGCTGAACAAACCTACACTGCTTCATCTTTCAGGCGGGAGGAGGGAAGACCCTAAGGACATCCTCCCATGGGGGGGGGGCTTGAATGGAGCCCTCCCAGCTACCCTCATTTCAGGAGGAAGGCTGAGTTTAGAGAACAGGGGATTGATTTTGCGAATTCTGTTGTCTGCTGGAGCCTGCGTGTGTCCCTGAGAGCAGGTATCCTGTGGCAGACTCGGGCTAAGTAAGGGAAACCACCTGCTGCTGGCAAAGGCCACAGAACACCCCCTCCCCCCAATCTCCCGCCGGGCTCTGCCTTCCAGCGAGGCAGTGGGACACCTTGGAAAGGGGGAGGTAAGAACTCGGGGTCCAAGAGTACACACTAGGGATGCGTATTCTGGAGAAGGGTCCATCTCTCGCAAGAAGCCGGAGGCGTTCAGTCTGTGAAATGGAGTCGACGGCTCGCCTTTCCACTGGGGTCTTTGTGTGGGTGTTGGGGGTGTGTGTGGGGGTGGGGAACGAACGGCCTGGCCTAGGCACCCATAAATCTCGTGTGCCCAGAGCGCTCAGCTGGGGGCGCAGCACCTTGGAGAGAGGTACCGGGTCCCGCGCCCGTCCTTGGGGTCGTCCACCCTTCCTCACTGGGGCCAGAGGCGGGTGCCAGGCCACCGCTGCGGGGTCTGCCTGCCCCTCGTCCAGCGCCGACCCCGGGCGAGCCAGCGCGGTGAGCCTCCCCCCTCCCGCCTCGGGCGGCCTGAGCCCGCGCGGGCTCTAGTGGTTGCAGCTGCTGCCGCCGGCGGCTGCGGGGAGCGCGGGGCGCGCGCCGGCGAGGCTTGGGCGGCGAGGGCTGAGCCGAGGAGGACCCGAGGCGGCGAGGGGCGAGCGGAGGCCGCGGAGGCCGGGCTGCGCGGCCGCGGGGCGCGGGCGTCCGGGGAGGGTGGGCCGGTGCAGCCAGCGGCCGGGCGGCCGCACGCGCCGACCCTGCGGCGACCGGGGCGCGCAGCGGGGAGCCGAGCGCTGCCGGGGGTGGGGTGGGGTGGGGTGCGGGGCGCAGGGCTGGCGCGGGGTGCTGCTGACACATTATTAACTACTTGCCGCCTAACAAGCCCCGAGCGGCTCGGCGGCGGCCCCGGCGGCGCGCGGGGAGGGGTGCCCGGCCCGGCGCAGCGCACACGCGTGGCGCACGGCGAGCGGCGCGGCGCCCCCGGCACCCGGGCCCGCGCGCAGAGCCGGGGCGGGCCCGGGGGCGACGCAGACCCGGGGCGCCCCCTCGCTCCCCGCGCCGGGGCCGGCACAGCCCGGGGCGAGCGGGCGGCGGGGGGGAGCAGCCCGCGCGCGCCATCCCCCTCCCCCGCGGGCGGGCGGGCTGCCGGGGAGGGCGGGCGGCGCGGCTCGCGGTATATATCTCCGCGCACCCCGCCAGGTCGCGCACAGCGCCCCGAGCCCAGGCGCCTCCCCGCCCCCTCCCCGCGATCCGCGGCGGCGGCGGCAGCAGGAGCAGCAACATGGCTGTGGACGGGCGCTCGGGGCGGCGCTGGCGGCGGGAGGAGCTCCCCGGGGCCCCCGCGCCGGCCGCCCGCGGCTAGCCATGGCCAATGGTGGCGGCGGCGGCAGCTCGGGCGGCGGCGGCGGCGGCAGCAGCCTTAGAATGAGCAGCAATATCCACGCGAGCCCGCTCAGCCTAGACGCGTCCTCCTCCTCCTCCTCCTCCGCCTCCTCCGCCTCCTCCGCCGCGGCCGCGGCCCGCGAGCCCAAGATGGATGCGCTCATCATCCCGGTGACCATGGAGGTGCCGTGCGACAGCCGCGGCCAGCGCATGTGGTGGGCTTTCCTGGCCTCCTCCATGGTGACTTTCTTTGGGGGCCTCTTCATCATCTTGCTCTGGCGGACGCTCAAGTACCTGTGGACCGTGTGCTGCCACTGCGGGGGCAAGACGAAGGTAACGCGCGCCCCGCGCCCGCCCCCGGCGCCGCGCGGCCCCCGCAACCCACCCGCGCGCGCCCCTGCCCTGCGCCGGCCCCGCGCCCGGGGCGAGGACCTGCCCGCGCCCGGCGCGCCCGGGACGCGGACGCCCCCTCCTGCCTCTTGTTTATCGCCGGTGGCTCGCGGCGGCGGCGGCCGGGGCCGGGGCCGGGGTGGGGGCGCGCGCGGGGCGCTGCGGGCGCGGGCGCGGGTGCGGGGCGCGCGGCGCGGAGAGACACCCCCCGGCGCCCAGGGCGCGGGCCCGCCGGGCGCGCCTGCCGCACCGCTCGCCTGCCGCGGGCCCGCTCCCGCCGGGGGGCGGCCGGAGCAGCCAGCCCGCGCTTCGGAAACCTGTTGGGGAGACGAGTTTGTTGGAGGAGTCACAAGGAAAGGGAAAGCTTTTGAGCCAGGTGTTGGGGGGGGGGATCTTTTGGACTAGGGGATCCCGCGGGGGCAGGCAGGAGCGTGGTCTGAGGAAGTGGGGAGATGGGGGGAGGCGAGAGAAAGTTGGGGACCTGCATCCCAGTTTCGGGAGCAGCCCTTGGAGGCTGCCACTTCAGGAATGTGGAAGCTGATGTCTGTCGCCTCCCGCTCCATCACCTCAGTCGCCCCGAGCCTGCTCCCCGGCCCAAGTTCCGCGGCCTGTGTGTTCTTGCCAGCCCCGGCTCGCCCCTCTCGCTCCCGGGAAGGCCGCCCGCAGCGCGGAGCCGAGCCGGGGGACCCCAGCGCCGACGAGGCCGCGGTTTCGCGCGGCGCCTCCTCCCCGACGCTTTCGGGGCGGCGGGATGCAGGCTTCGGCTATTCCTGGCGCAGAGACGCCCACCGGCGCCGAGACTCTCGCTACCTCGCGTAGGGCGGCTGGGCTGACTGCCCTGTCTGGCGCTGTGTCCCTGAAGATGTCCTTTTCCAACCTCCCCCACCAAGGGGAGGGTCGGGGGCGGCTTTTCACAGACAACTGCGGAATAACAAGGGCTGGACCTGAGTGACCGAGCTGCGCTCTTTTTGAGTAACTCCCATCCTAGGGAATCTCCAGCGCCTGCAGTTTGGGAGGCAGGAGAGGCCACCGGGAAGAGCCGCCTCCGGTGTTTACACCTTTTCTCCTAACTTAATCCCAGGACCCCTCAAACTTCCGCAGGGCACAGCAACTTGTAGCAGCCTCTTTGGTTGCCGAGGAAAGAAGTGGGGAAGCCCGGGGTGGGGGTGGGGGCTGTGGGGCGAGCTGGCTATAGGAACACAAGGGTGAAGCCAAGCTGTCTCTCCTGATCATTAATTATACATCGTGTTGGGTGCTGGAGCCCAGCTGTGTTTTGTGGCAGCACATTTGTGTTTTGGAAAATACTGGTGTGTTGGAAATAAGGGAGAAAAATAAAAGCCATTATTCTCTCCCTCTTCCCCATTCCCTGGGGCCTCCAGCTCCGTACGGGCCAGACAGCTTTCTGTGGAGTTACCTTCTCCAGCATA